CTCTTCATTTCAATCAACGAAACACTCATTAATTTTGAACACATTTTCAAAAAACAATAATATAAAACACAAAACAGTTCTTAATTAGAGTACAAATACTGTAAACACAAAAGCAATTATGAATCTAATGTCTAAAACTACAAAATGGCTAAACCCCACTTTCTTTACAACACGTGCTCTCACGAGTCACTACCGTATTACCCCGCTTATAGGTGCATGCACTTATATGTGAGTTTTCACACAAGGGGTGCACCTATACCTGGATATAGGTGCGGTAGTTTTTGGCACATTTTTGACTTTCAATTGAAATTTACATATACCTTGAGATGAAAGTCGAATGACTTATTATTAAACTTTAAACTCTAAAATGTTACTTTTAATGTTTAAAATCCATATGTATTTTCTTATCTATTTATGAGTTTCATGAATAATGAGTACATTAGTGTAAAATATCTCATATAATGAACATGTCTTCAAGTGATCACTAATGAATCAATTCAAATAATCACTGAATAAATGGATATAAATGAAGATATCAGTGATCAAAGTGTGACAAAACAAAGAAAGAAATTAAAATGAAAATTTACTTTAAATTATTAAATAATGAATCATCTACCCATTAATTTATTAAATAATGTTGACAAATAAATATTGGTGCACTTATATGTGATTTTTACACAAGGGGTGCACTTATATCCGAATATAGGTGCGGTAGTTTTTGTGACATGCAATATCTGTGAAATTCAAGTGCATGCACCTATAAGCGGGGCAATACGGTAATAATGAATACCTGTTTGACAACTTTATTACCATATTTGCCAGTTTACTGATAAACAGTTAAATAAACTCAATTTATCAATTACGTTAATGTTTTATACATTTAAATTTAAAAATTGATTAAATTTCAATTATATATTACTTATGATTAGACAAGTGCGGAATTTAAGACATAGGTGAATTTAGATTTGGATTTCTTATTTAGAAAATATTTTTTATAATAATATTCATTTATTTTGTGACAATTATTTTACAAATAATAATCCCTCCAAAAGCCATCGCAAGTGCTATGAAAGGGATTATCCAATACTCGGCTCGTATTCACTGGATTCAAGTCTTTTACATTAATTGTATTGTTAGCCAACAATTGCGGCCAATTATTGTCGGGTTTGCTAAACACAACGTAAACATTAAATACAATTAAATTAAACTCAAATAACCAAATAATTTACCCGTATTTCGCGAAATTAGTCCACATCTGCATTATATAACGGCTAAACCTTATGTCGTCGGGTGTGGCGATTTTGGGCATATGAAACGGTATGCCAAACACATAGAGCAAATCAGTGGCGTGACAAACGCCCTTGGTGGCAATATCACAGTTATACAGATTGGCCAACACCTGGCTAACATAGGTGAGCTGGTAGAAATAAACATTATGCGCATTTGCTTTAACATTACGGGCAAACTGTTTAACGAACATATATGTGGGACAAGTCATCATGAGATGGCCCGTCAAGTCGTAAAATGCGCGCCGAAGGGCCGATTCGCTGGACGTGTTTACGCCTTTAAGGTAAAATTTATTTGTTTTATCTGGGTCAATGCCCGGGTAAAAACTGTCATTAAACTCTTGTGTGCATTTTTTGAAAACATCTAAAGTCATCTTGATCACTTTCCATAATACAATCATTGAAAGTGATGAGCCCTCATCGTGTGTCACGCCAGCCATTATATCGATATCTAAACATCCAAGATAATAATTATAATCATTAACCTGATTATTATAATATCTATTATTTACCATGATTATATTTCATAGTTTCAAATGCATTTTGAGCCCTGAGTGGCAACAATTGATCGCCAGTTAAGGGAAATATAAGTCCAATTTCAGAGGTTATCAGATCGTCGGTGTCGAGCGCTCGCAAACATTGTAACTAATCGCTAGTTTCGGTACAATTGAATTGTTTTGCAAATTGTTTAGCTTTTGTTAAGGCCTGGGATGTTGTCAATTGATCGATGTTTTTGTTGTACATATGGGCGCCCGACTGCATAATAGCTCTCTTGAATAGGCCTTTGGATAGCGGAGAGAGTATGTGTGCGGACACCGACCAACTCCCGGCGCTCTCACCAAAAATGGTGATTTGATCCCTATCTCCGCCAAACATATGGGCATTTTCTTTAACCTATTATTATATTATTAATTTACATCTTATTTCAATTATTATTATTTATACTAATAATAAGTTTAGAAATTATAATAAAACAAGCGATCAATTGATATCCATTTGAGAGCCAATAACTAATCATAAAAGCCGACATTTTCGGGCGCATCCTCCCGATCCCTGTATAGCCAACCAAAGTTGCCTAACCTATAGTTGACGGACACAATCATTACATCATGTGTTGCCAAAACACTTCCATTATAAATAGGCATATAATATATTGATCCCATCATAAGTGCCCCACCATATATCCAAAACATAATGGGTTTGAGCTGTGATTTGTTTGTGTTATTTTCCCCCGCATTTGGTGTCCATATGTTTAATACCAAACAATCTTCACTATATGTTATGTTCATTTTATCCCATTTGTTTTGCCTCAATTGCATTTGCGGACATGAATTGCATGTTTTTGATCCGTCTATTGTGTACTAAATAATTATAAACAATATATTTATTATTGAAACTTATTGTTTGACTCATATTTGTGTTAAATTTTTATTTAAAATTACATTCAGTGGTGTTTTGGTGGGTTCAGGTTTGGCGAACCGGAGTCTCCCGACGGGTGGTTCGGCATAAGGTATACCCAAAAACTGGTCAATACTTACGTTCAACACATCTATCGTCTGACCCCTCACTACACCCGATGTTGTCTTCACATCAATACATGCTATTACTTTAAAACACAATACAATTTCAAATAANTCAATACTTACGTTCAACACATCTATCGTCTGACCCCTCACTACACCCGATGTTGTCTTCACATCAATACATGCTATTACTTTAAAACACAATACAATTTCAAATAAAATGCTAAATATATACATAATTTATTAATAATTAGCGTTTTATTTTACAAGTAATTGATTGTTTAATTGAACAACAGTATAATATAATTTTTATTTTATGTCGATTTACAAATAGTGGTGGATTTATTAAGTAAATTGTAAAAGTGATTATAATGAATAAATAAATGAACATTTTTTACAAAGTATTCTCTAAAGCAAAAATAATTAATGATATTTTTCATATAAATTAACGACTTGATGACATAATTAAAATTATATTGTTTAAAATGTAATAAAGCAAGTGTTTTTTAGAAATATTTAATCGTACATGGTTTTAGTTTTATTTATTCAGTTGTATTTAAATTATTGTTTTATATGTAATAAATGTAATGTTATATACAGTAACTTATAGCTACAAATACAGTATTTTATAAGAAAATGAAAATTTTTAATAAAAGTTATTTAATATTATTTGTATCAATAGTAATATTGTGCTTTTCATCTATTATTTGTATTGATGTGAAGACAACATCGGGTGTAGTGAGGGGTCAGACACTACATGTGCTCAACAAAACTGTTAACCAATTTTTGAATATACCATTCGCTGAGCCTCCGATCGGAAACCTACGGTTCGCACCGCCTGTGCCTCTCAAACAACCCTTAAATGTATATTTGATTAGAAAATTAATTTTATTAAAAATATCAATTAAATTAAACTAAATATATATTTAATTATTAAGTATGTTATCAATGATACAAAACGTGGTAAGGCTTGTATACAAGTGCATTCAAGAATAATGAGGGGAGAAGTAAGTGAAGACTGTTTGGTATTAAACATATGGACACCAAATGCGGGCAATAATAACACAAACAAATCACAGCTCAAACCCATCATGTTTTGGATACATGGTGGAGCTCTAGTATTTGGGTCAATGAATACGTATAATGGTAGTTTTCTGGCCGCACACGATGTGGTTTTTGTTGCCGCTAATTATAGATTAGGACAGTTGGGCTTTCTAT